GCCCTCAGCCCTCCAGTCCGTGCGCTCAACCTATTACTTGCTTGCAGCCTAGCGCTCTTTCACCTGGTGGAGGGGTACTCATATCGTCGCTTGCCCCGCCAACCTAGACGCTTCACTATCTCTGCTCCTCACCCTGTGCCATCACTTTCTTGCGACAGCCTGCAGCCGACTCTCCCTCCTCTAACTCTTCAGAGCAATCGCTTGCGCCATCATCACCGATACAGCCTGGTGCTACAAGATCAAATGTTCGTTCCGTCACGTTGCTACATACTGCCTGCCCGGGAAGCCGCGATGGATTCCTCGCCTTCCTGCACCTTTCCTTCACTCTACAACTCCTGTCACTACCTGTCTTGAGCTTCTTTGTATCGCGCGCCTTGTTTCGAGTTGCGAGAGCTAGTATTGAGACCGTTCAGTGTTCGACCCAGACATCACTCTCACCATGTCTAAGCTCTTCATTGGGTAAGTACGCAGCCTTCCCATACCGCGACCGCGACTGACCCTTCACAGAGGCCTCGCATGGCACACCGACGACCAAGCTCTCCGTCAAAAGTTCGAGGAGTTCGGTCAAGTCGAAGAAGCCGTAAGTGACAGGCTACTCGACGAATGTCGTCGCCGAGGTCGAGTCAATGCTCACATCGTCACAGGTCGTGGTTAAGGACCGCGATACTGGCCGCAGCCGAGGCTTTGGCTTTGTTCGCTATGCCCAGGACACCGAGGCCGATGCCGCTATGCAGGCCATGAACAACGAGGAGTACGTCTTTTCTGCCTTCACCTACCATCCAACAGTGGGCACTGCTGACGCTCCCAGATTCGACGGACGTAGGATTCGCGTCGACAAGGCCTCCGACCGTGCTGGCGGTGGTGCTCCTCGCGGCGGCGGCTACGGAGGCGGTGGCGGCGGATACCGTGGAGGTTACGGCGGTGGACAAGGAGGAGGTAAGCTTCTCACCTCCTACTCATCATGGCTCTATACTAACTATATCCTCAGGCTACGGTGGCGGCGACCGTGGTAAGCACATGTCATCGTTCTATTCGCAGTAAGAAACTAACTTAGCAAAAAGGCTACGGCGGCGGCGGCCAGGGCGGCGGCTCTTGGGGACCTTCTCAAGGCGGCGGCGGCGGCGGATACCAATCTCGCGGCGGCTACGGCGGCGGCCAGGGCGGTGGTCAGGGCGGTTACGGTGGTGGTCAAGAGGGTGGCCAAGGTGGTGGCCAGCAATGGTAAACACCTTGGTGGACCCACGTCCTACAGTCCTGTGCTCTCAGAACGACCAAACGTACGAACTTTCTAGTTGAGGGCAAGAGCGCTCCTGGCATTGGAGCTGGCTTTACACGATGGAGATCTTTTGGACGTTAGCCGACACTGCTCCTCCTCGAATGAGCATCATCATTCACATGGACGTTTCATATCATGTTTAATGGCAGTAGAGGTGGTTGGTACTGAGAGATGAGATACCCATTGAATCAGGAGGTGCTGCTACTCTGTACTTGTCGCGCTATGAGGGTTCCCGTTCTTTGTGCACTTTCCTTACGGGCTCTTCGTAGTCATGGTGGCTTGCTGCCTACCCAAAAGCTGTGTCATACCAATGTAACCTTGAACTCTACCAGAAGACATGTCAGCAAAAAGCAGATTACACCGCATTCCAAAAGCAAGCATGCTCACTCACACTCGCCTCACAAACGGGTACAACAGCCATGCCTCCTTCCTGGTGATCAATGAGATCACATTACCGCTGTTGCGATGAGGCTCTGCGGTGTCTAACGGGTCCCTCCACAAGACGCAGGTTCGTGACGATGCCAATTCTCCTCAGCACCCAACACATGTGATAATCTCGACGGCAACTAACCCATTACTTAATCGCACGCACTAGTCTCGCTTTCTGCACATGGAAAATTCAGCAGCCAAGGCAGCGCATTGTGACCACATCTGCATATTGCATACATAGCCGCCGACCAGTCCTGCTGCAGCTGCAGCACCAACGCAGAGTAGAAAGGCAGGTTTCTGCAAGCGATAGCTGGGCTGCCTGCGGGGAGTCAGGCGCACTCCGTGCTGCGTTTTGTATAGTCCTCGCGCACACACTTCCGCATACTCGAGTGCTTTGCTGCTGCCTGAGGTGATCTTCACTTTTGGCGTCAGGCGCCAGGATGCGACGTCGAATATCTTGGGCTGAGGATGCACGCTGACAGACGACCTCTCCACACCCGTCTTCTACTATCCAACGACTCGCGGATATCCAATACTTCATCGCATTTATTTTGCTTGTTCTTCAGCCGGCTGGAACGACTTCGAGTACATCATGAAGAGTTGGAACGGGCTGGAGGATGCGACGGCGCCGGTCAAGCCTGGACGGACCCCGACGCGGTGGCGTGCGCTGCTTTCTGCGACCTTCGTCACACTCGTGTGCCTCGCGGCAGTGGATACCATCTTCCCTGAATTGAAGAACTGGGATCTGTCCTCATTTCTAGACATTGAGCCTGCGTTGCATCATGCTGCTTTTGAGTGGTCCGAGGTATGTTGAGAGAGTGTTCCCTGAGCGTCGCACCGCACACGTGGTTCTGCAGCCACCCTGGCCCGCATCTTATCAGATCGAATGATAGCCTCGATCCAAGTCGCACAGCAGATGGTTACTCTACTTCCGGGAGATGTCTTGAACGCATGCCGGAGCACCACAGACGACCTTCGTCATCAAAAGGCTCAATGAAAAATCTGATCGTGATTGGTGGCCTGACCAGATCCCATTCCGGCTCTAGCCAAAGTCCCGACACCGTATCAACATAAGCGAACCGCAGCTCTCTACACATTAGTCTAAGAGGCTGCTTCGGCATCATATACCGACTGGTGGATGCAAGACTGACAAAGCTCCAGATCACCCCGAGTGAGCAATTAGAATTTCACAAGTGTCATGGCGGGTTTGAATGCGCAAAACTGAGCCTGCCACTGGACTACTTCAACGGGACCTACCCCGATCATACTGTGAGCATCGCTATCGTCAAGCTACCCGCCAGAGTATCCGTGGATGATCCCCGCTATGGTGGCCCGGTCTTGTTCAACCCTGGCGGTCCCGGAGGATCAGGTACAGCAGTTGCGCTCTTCCTAGCAGGAGGGTTACAACAAATTATAGACTCTCATGTTGAGACTCTCACCCCATCTACCGATGCAAGATACTTCGATATCATCGGCTTTGACCCTCGAGGCATCGGTTGGACAGAGCCAGTCGCTCGATGCATGCCAGATCAGCCTTCTTCGTGGTCTTGGAGCCTGAGGGAAGAGACCGAGGGCCTTGTTGGAAGTTCGGACGCAGCTCTTGGCAGACTTTGGTCTATGCAACATGCCTTTGGCGCATCTTGTAAGCTTGCCGAAGAGAAACAAGAGGGACCGGATATCAAGCAGTACATGTCGACGGCGTTTGTTGCCAGAGACATGTTGGAGATCACCGAGAGGCATGCCGAATATGTGGCGAAAGAGGTCGCTCGGAAAGCTGTACGGACGGCTGGCAAGCGTATCGGAAGCCACGGACCCACTTACGTTCCTGGAGAAAGTAAGCTGCAGTACTTGGGCTTTTCCTACGGGACTTTCCTTGGGGCCACGTTTGCGTCCATGTTCCCGGACCGTGTTGGACGTATCATCCTCGATGGAGTCGTGAGTTCGTACGACTACACCCACTCGATGGGTAACGGAAGTCTTGTAGACGTCGAAAAGGCCATGACTTCTTTCTATACATTTTGCTACAATGTGGGCCCCAATAGATGTCCCCTAGCCACCGCCAACTCAAGTGTTTTCGACATAGAGGATCGCACACAAAACATTATCGCATCGCTATACCACAATCCGCTTCCCGTCGTCTCGGCAGAAGGCCCAGAACTTCTCACTTGGTCCACCATCAAATTAGTTCTCTTCAGCGCTACCTACCAGCCACGACTCACATTTGACTTCATAGCCGCCAGCCTGTTCGCCATTGAACAAGGCGTTGGTAGAGAAATCAACGACATCGCCGAAACCTTGCGCGACAACCACGTATTCTCTTGCCCTGTCGACGGCAGCGGGCCACTCGAACAGCCAACTTCCCCAGTAGCCACTACAGCCATTTTATGCAGCGACGGAATTGATCAAACCCATGTGACTAAGGAAGAATTCGCCGCATACTGGGATATCATGGACGAAGTTTCACCGAACTTTGGTTCCTACTGGTCCATGCTGCTGATGCAATGTGCATCTTGGAAGATCAAAGCTAGCTACAAGTTTGACGGTCCTTGGGGCGCTAATACATCGCATCCTATCCTTTTTGTCAGCAATACAGCAGACCCGGTTACACCTCTTCGCAGCGGACGCTATATGCATAGTTTATTCCCTGGAAGCAGCCTTATGATTGGCGATCACGCAGGACATTGTTCGATGTCGGCACCCGACCCGTGCATCTTGAGTCGCGTCAACACGTACTTTCAGACGGGTGAGCTGCCGTCGCCAGGGACGGTGTGTGTGCCGCCGCCCAGCGAGTACAGTCTCAACTCGACAGATCCGGATAGTCCTTTCTACGACCCTACTTTGGGGAGTGCGAATGTGGCTGCTACGCAGGAGGATGAGGAGAGCTGGATGAGGCTGCGCAATGCTGGTGAGTTGCTCCAGAAGCAGGCTGTTGCGGGTGGTATGTTTGAAATAACCCTTCCGGGTGGTGAAAGAGCAAAGCGCGTTATGCAAAACATCTTAAAGGGTCACTATTAGGCTGGGAGTACACATGGTTGAATGGAGATGCTTTTCATTTCTATCTCGAAGTCCCAAATGACTCATATGGATATTGCTCATCCTTAACCCAGAACACGGCAACCGAGCTTCGGCGTCACACACACATTAGTCTGTATCCAAAACGAAATCATCAAAGAAGAAGTCACCATTTTTTCTTTTTTTCAGAGTCTATTGGTTTTTGCTGGTTAGAGCATGTTTCCATCCCGTGTTACTTCAGTTATAATAGCCGTAATTGAAGAAGTCACCATACTCTCCATGATTAACCGCCATTCCTATATTCCTTCTCCAGATACACCACCTCGAGGTCTTGATTTCCCACTTGTTTCCGGAATTCCTTCGTATACCAGTCATCAGCACCGGTCACTTGATACGGTGCCTCCGAAATAATTAGTGTTTCCAGTGCAGGAAATATCCGCAATGTACGCATGTTCTGTTCGATAGGCTCGCGGAGTCCCATGGCTGGATCTTCAGATTGAAAGGCATCCCAATCAATATCGATATGCCTAATCAACCTTAGCTGTAACGGCGTACACCGCTTCCGGAGTTTTGAGAGGTCGGATAGGTCGAACTCGCGATGTATGAAGCGTGCAACAGGGTAGATGTGTATTGCGAAGTAGGCATGTGCGGTTTCGGCGAAGATTTGTCGTGATGCACGGGATAACTCGAGGCGGTCCCAGTAGAAATGGGAGTCATGTTTCCAACTCCTTGCGCTGAGCTCAAGAGCTAGATCGAATATCTTGTTGCGGATCTCAGCTGGCAGGCGCAAGAGAGGGGAATGAAGTTGATTGCGCTGGGCACTGTTGGCGGTCAGCATTTCACACTCAGCTGCGCACTACTTTTAGTGAGGTATGAAACTAACATTGCGAGACAATCTGCGCTGGGTACGAGAGTGGGTGGTCCTTTGCATTTATTCATTTCGAAAGACGTGCAGGCTGGCAGAGTGTGAGTTGGGAGGTAGGAGTTTCAGATCAGTCGAATTGGAGTGAGGTTGTTGAGGAAATTAAGAGCGTAGGTTGAAGAGGTGGTTGAGATTCACACATGATATACGGCAATGTGAGTCACGCCGCTAGTGCATGGAATACCAGTCAGGCATGATAAGTCAAACCATAGATTACTTTTTTTCGTCATATTATTCGTTCTCCCGTGTCCACGTTATCAGCACTACCTTTGAGTCAGCCGTAGCAGGATCGAATTTGGTTCGCCTATCCTCCGCGACCAGACTTCACGAACCCACACGCAGGAATCGACGTATCGACATCACTCCTGGGCATCCATCCCAAAGCACCAGATACACTCTTCGTCTTGCTGAGTCTCGATGGCTATGCATCCGGAACCCATTGCGGAGTGCTCAAGTCCTCATGCATGGTGTACGTGAACTCTAACCGCGGATTCTCCATCCAACCCCTAAGCCGAATTTCGCACAAAAGTCGAGGTCTCCTCTCTTCAGGTGCCCCGTGAATATGTAACCGCGTCAGCCCGCTGTGCGCAAATGGACAGTATTTACCTGGTTTTAGGCCCACTGCGTGATACCAGCTAAAAGCAAGGGCTCCCAGCATACGGAATTGAGATGGTGTGATCGGCAGTACGAGGCCTGACCTACGCGGCGGGAGTTTTACCACTGATAACGTAACGCAGTGATATGGGAAGAGTCTCAGTTCGAAGTACGCCGCGGCGGTCTCAGCGAAGACCTCGCGCGAGGACTGGACAAAGAACATACGATCCCAAAAGTAGAGTTCTTCGTGATGCCACCGCCATATTTCCGTAGGGACGAGTTCGAGCGTGTAGGCGTAGATTTTGTTACGAACCTCAGCTGGTAAGCGCAGGAGAGGCGACTGGATTTTATTGCGTTGAGCGCTGTTGACTGTTAGCGCCTGTCTTCGTAGAGAGTGAGGCAATGCGTGAGCAGAGTCGGGTTCAATAAGATTATACTTACATTGCGAGGCACTTTGCGTTAGGCACGAGAGTAGGCGGGCCTTTGACGTTGGGTGTAATGATGGGCGGTGCAACACCGTTGTTGAGATAGGCGTGATGATAACGGGCCAACGTTGGGTCGAAGGGTTGAAGATTCAGGAACGACATTCTTACTGTGGAAAGTGTTGAAGGTGCAAGGTGACGGAAGGGTCAGAGGAAAAGCTCAGGAGGTGAACGCGCTAGTAATTTATCGGCGTGTGACATCTTATGAGGTACTACACGCACCGCCAAAGCTTGCACCTCGCCAGTCCGCTCTTCTACAAATCACCACATCTCAATCTAAAAGTCACTGCAAGTGACATGTACTAGAACATGTAAGCTAGCATAAGGTAAGCCTGAGATGAGTACGCTTATATAGTAAAGAGTTTCTACTTTCGCTGTAACTACACAAGGTGACCCATCCATTTCTTGTTGGCTTACGCCGCCTCTCCAAAGGAACTGATACTACCCAAATGTATCAAAAATCAATCGCGTAGCCCGAGTTACAAGCCATCAATGAGAACCTCCAGCGTTTCTGCCTTTCCTCCGATCGATTTCACGTTCCAAGCATCGGTGAAACTACCTCTTCCGGGGAAAGTCACCATACATCTGAAGACCACGCTCCTGCATCTCTTCATCAACTTGAGTATCATTTTCATCAGCCTGTTGGTGTTCTCTCTGCGATCGGAGTTCTCGTAGGCCGAAAGACCATCAATGAAGCAGAAGACAACGGTATCTTTGGGAAGCTGCTTCGCGACGGCCTGGAAGACATCGAATGTCGCCTCTATGTCGCCAGCCTGCACAGCACAATGATCTTCAAAAGACAAGAACGACAGGTCTAAATCGAGGCTCTGGGCTTTCTTTCGTCTTTTGACCTGAGTCAAGAGCTGAACCGTCAAACTTGCAATGAGTCCCGTCGCGTCAGCTCGTGGCTCACGCCATTGATCTGTGTGACGACTGCAGAAATAGTTGAGACAGAAGATCTCGTCCGACACACTCAGCAGGTCCGTGACTTTGGCACACACGTGCGAGAGCGGTGAAATGAACTGCGCGGCGTCGTTGTTACCATTTACTAGCAGCAACTTCGACTCGTCCGCACTCTCCACGAAATCACCAAACTCGGATGATTGTAGCACCCACAATGCTCGATTGCGAAAGTCTTCGCTTTGAGTAAAGCCCAACGCTAGACAGTAATCTGTGTCGTCTTGAACGGTCTTGAGGTCGATATCAAGCGTTCTCAATAAGGTTTTGATGGTGATGCTGTTACCGATCGTAGTGGACGGCCTCGGGGGAGAGGTTTCTCCTACAGTCAGCAGGGGAGGAGTATTGGTATTCGAAGCGACTATTGTAGGTAAGCGATCTGTCATTCCAAAATGCGCATGTAGATACTTACGGCCACCAGTCTTCACGTTGAAATCTGGATTCGCCTGCAAATGACGCATGAGATATGTGCAAACCTTCTGCGCGGTGATCTCTGTGCTAGAGTCGATGGCTAGCAGTAGTTGCTCTTTCGAGAGCTCATGGCGAGCCTTTTCTAGAAGACTGGTTAGTATCTGCGTATCCTACAGTTGCGATGTACGTACCCCGAGAAGCGTGAAGATCGCTTTTCCGATCCATCTCGGCAATTCTTCGTTGCAGGCAAAGATTCGCCTCTTCTCTTAATTGCAGGGCTTTGTTCTTCATCTCCTCGATGGCGTCTGTCAGTTCCTGTTGATGCGCACTTCCCTTCATCATCGCAGAGGCACCTCTTCCTTGGCTTCATCAGTACATTGGTCTAACATAAAGTCCTGTTCGAATTGACGTACTCCATGAGCTTTTGGCAAAGAACTCAACTATGACTCGCAAGACCACGAGGATATCTTTGCAAAGTTCAGCAGTCTTCTTTACCAAAGTATCACTCGAGTGAGCTTTGTATATCTCAACGTATGCGCTCGCATGGGACAACGTTTCTGGTATGGTGGCTAGGGCTTCGTAGATCGTCTGCTGGGTGCCGCTTATATTACGAGCCGCCTACGCTTGTCAACATTGTGTAAAGACGGTGTGCAAGACGACGTACTTGGACTCCCAAGATGAAAGCACCGCTAATGGAAGACGTGTAGTCACCAGCCGGCAAGAGCGCCAGCCAATGTTCAAATATATCAGACTTTTCGCACATTCTTGCGAAGACGGTCTTCTTGTAAGAGTCGCTAGCAGTCTGTACTTCGGTAATGACTTGTTTCCAGGTATATGATCGCTGGTCTTCATGGGTTCTCTCCGTCACGCTATCTTTGCGTCGTGTTTTTTGCTGTAGAACGCTCATTGCTGCCAGCAACTTCTCTTTTTCGACGGCAGTGTCTTGCCAAAGCTCAACCCTGGACGTCTTTTAGTGCTTCGTCGAAACGTATCGAGACGGAAATGGCCTACAGTGCGTTCTGGTGTTGCTCGGCCTCTTCCAGTGACACGAAACAGTCCATCTCAGCTACATAGCGAGTGTTCTCAGCTAGACTGATGGAGTTCAGAATGAAGTCGGCAGAAGCATTGACGGGAGACATTGTTCGGGTTCTTTGACGCTGTAGCAGCTGTGTGCTGTCCTCCTGGTTAAATTTGGAGGCCATTTCGGAAACAAGAACGGTACTATCAGCCCGCTAGAGTTCTTCGCGGCGCGGATGATTCTTGGCTATAGGATGAAAGTCAAAGCAAGAGAGTGCAGACTCCGTAAGACAAGCTCTCTGCTCTTCCTGATGGGGACCGTCGTTCAGTTGGCGACTGCAGGCAGCTGTCGCAAGGCTGTGAATGATATGGTAAGGAACAGCCTTCTCTATTTCTTGCGCCTCACTATGAACTTGTGGCTACGTGATGTGCTGTCAGACCGACTCTGTTGCCTGATATTTTTCTTCCAGAACTGCAAGGGTTTACTGGCATAGTACCAAGCCCGATGACTACTCACTGAAAGGCGAAGTCATGTTTATTCGCGTGAGGGGTGCATCTGGGCATCAGCGGAAGGAAGCTTCTGACCCCACCAACCACGGGTATCAGCTGCAAGACGGGACGGCCGAGCCAACTTTGGCATGTGGCTTGCAGCCAAGTCATGCAGTGAGATTCCTTACCGATGGCTGTGCTGATGTAGGAAACCAGTTTTGTTACAAATTGCATTTCTTGCCGTCTTGGCGTGGTGCACGCGACGTGTCACAGCTGAGCCTCTATTCCAGCTGTCAGTGCTACCATACATCTTTAGGGTTTGCTAAGCCTTTCAATCTGACCGGATTCAGGTAGTCGTCCAGCGTAGTCCCCAAAAGACTCTCTCTTCCACGCAATTTGGCAACCGATGCGTGTACTTTTGTCTCTAACGCATACTACCATCACCTTCTCATTGAGAACATACACGGCTTCATCACTCGGTGTGATCCTTGAACATACTCATCATGAGTACCGCAGATTCTTCGAACTCCTACCAAGGTTTCAATAACCGGATCTGGGAGCAGAACAAATCCATCGGAGTCAATTACAATGAGCAGATTAGTGGACACACTCAGAGCCCACCAAGCCCCGGTCATGTGGACGAACGCCGTATCACAATCAATGTGAGCCAGGATGGTGAACAGCCTCTTCATAGGAAGGCAAATGGTATCGAATACCACGAATCGATCTCGGAGTCCAGGAAAGAGGTCAGCATGCATCACGAAAGAACGCAAGATAGAAGATCTCTAGCGGGCACCGTTTACGGACCCCCCATTGGAGCGCCGCCCGGACACTACAAACGACCTGCACCATCTGGAATCCCACGTCCGCAGATTACCCACGTAGGTAGCTCGGCGTTCAAGAAAGGAGGGATCAACTCCGTCATTGAGGTACTTTTGGAAGAACCACGGATCAGCATCAATTCGCGGTCCAGGAAGCGTTCTTCCGTTCACGCCGGACTCGGTCGCACTTCGCCTTCCAGGGCACTCACCATCCCGACGGTGCGACAGAACCCGAAGCGAATTCGCATTCGCTCTTCAAAACTTCTTAAGACGCTAGAGCACCTTGCAGAAAGTGTGGGATTTAGCTTTCTGACTAGCGGCACAACGTCTCTTGTAAGTCCACTAAACCTCGCAGTGTCGTTATAAAGCAGTTCTTCTCTGATACTTATGTCGAATTCTAGGTGTTCCAGTACCCGTTCAAGTTGTTCATAACCCTCGAGCAACCAATAAGAAAGAAGCTTGCACAACTGTACGAAACTGTTCAAGAACACGATGAGGTCGATGCCCTGAGGCCGGATATAGAGGTTGATCGCCCCTTGAACAACGAGCCTGTCGATATCGAAGCCATACAGCAGCTGAAGCTACTTGAAGAGTTGTATGATACGGATCTGAAGCCGATGTTTGACATGCGGCGGGATATCGAAACGAAGAAGCTGGCTACGATTTCGTATACAGACCTATGGCATCTTTTCCGTTATGGACAGGAAGTTAGGGCTAGCGACAATGATACGCAGGTGTACCGAGTGTTGAGGTGGACGGGAGGACGCGAACCTCTTGCGAAGCACGGTCTATTGGCGGAGCTCCAAGCTCGCGCCGCTCTCGATGCCCAGTCTGCACCCCGAAACGAGAACCGGGGTGAGACGTTCATTGTGGAAACTGCCAGCTTTGAGTTTGATGGTTTTCACTACGGACCTGTTCAAAAGACGTTTGTAGTCCGGAAATACGACGGAGAGAAACCCATTACCAGTCTCCCCATCTTTCCGCTAGCTTTCGATCCGTCTCACGAACAGCTGCGAAAGCGGTTGATACATCGAGGCAACTTGTATCTTCAGCTTTCGCAAGCCGATCAAGCGTCGCACAAACACTACCACGGTCTCACGCTAGATGAGCCCCACGAGGAGGTAAGCTTTTGGTCCTGCTCTCCCTCTTCTCATATGTTGACGTATGTTTAGGTCGACTCCCAGATCATCGTAGACACCAAGATGGCTATGCTTCGATACCATACTACACTCTCGCCTGTAGGAGTGGGTAGCTTGGTAGGTCACAATCTTCGGGAGACGTACGAAGAAACAGTCAACCCTACCGTCACGGATGGCGTCTGCGCAGAAGACGGGTGCTGCGACAACGAGCTTGTCCACAAAGACTATGGTTGGGACATGCAGCATGAGGAGCGATATATGGAGGATCATAGATTCGACCTTGAGCCTACGACGGACCCGGCCGATCTTGATGATGAGGAGAAACTTCTACTGCCTCCTTTCGTGTACGGGTTCGTTCTGCGAAGTCGCAAGTGGGCCAAATTCAGTATCGACTGCATCCGCGATGTCGAGTACACTAGCGGGTTCAGTGACTTGGTATTGCCCTCTGGTCATAAAGAGACTGTGCGGGCATTGGTTGCGAATCACGCACGACTACCTACCACAGGTGGAAGTGGACCGCATAACCAGAAATCTATCGACCTTGTTCGGGGTAAAGGGAAAGGCTTGGTCATTTTGCTGCATGGCGCGCCCGGTACGTGCTTCTGCAAATGGACGTTGGTGAGATAAGCTTACTGACTGAAGGGTAGGCGTAGGAAAAACCTCCACCGCGGAGTGCGTTGCCGACACTACGAAAAGACCGCTTTTCCCGATAACGTGCGGCGATATAGGTGACACTGCAGCGGAGGTAGAAACCAACCTCGAGAGCAGTTTCCAGCTTGCACACAAGTGGGGTTGTGTCCTCCTCTTAGATGAAGCCGACATCTTTCTGCAGAAGCGCGACAAGACGGACATCAAGCGCAATTCGATCGTTTCGGTGTTTTTGAGAGCACTTGAGTACTACAGTGTAAGTTGCTGTCAAGTACATCATTGTGAGGGGCTGCCGATCTAACATCTAAACTTCAAGGGTATCCTGTTCTTGACGACCAACCGTGTGGGCCTTTTTGATCCAGCCTTTCGTTCCCGCATCCATATCAGTCTCTACTATCCGGGGCTTCAAAAGGATGCTACGATTCGGATCTGGAAGATGCATCTGTCGCGCACTCAGGAGATAAAGGGCGATCAGTTCAAGATCAAATCAAAAGAAATCCTGAAGTTCGCCAAAGAGCATTACATGGAACTCAAGAAAGCTGGTTCAGGTAGTTGGAATGGAAGGTATATATCAACGCAACAACGTTTTGTAGCACAGATAAGCTGACAAAGGCGACAGACAAATCCGCAATGCTTTCCAGACTGCCATCGCCCTCGCAGAATTCGAGACAACGGAGAAGAATGACGAACACGGTGTCGGTCACAAACCTCACCGAGTCGAACTTTCTCAGGAACACTTTTCCACAGTCGCAAAAGCCTCTGCTGAGTTTGACACGTATCTCAAGAGCACACTTGGAGGCCAGACAGAGTCTGACATCGCCAGACTGGAACAGACACGAATGGACGAGTATTCTTCGTTGAGAAGCAGAACAGATGCGAACCTCCGGCCATCTAAAGCCAAGGGAAAGACTGGAAGGAAAGGGAAGAGTGTGACTGATAGTGAGGATAGTGATAGAGACTCAGAAGAGAGTGAACGAAGCGAAGACTCTGAAGACCAAGGAAAGGCGAGTGACTCACAAAGCGAGACCGAGGAAGAGGAGGATCGGGTTATCGTGAAATCTTCCAAGGGAAAGAAGGATGGAAAAAGACGCAAATAGAGTTTTTGTTACTTCAGATTGGAGAGGTTCGTTATGTACTTGTTTCCTGGACCACGTTCAAAATCCATCGTCAATGCCAGACTGCTTCTCGGTTGCTTGCCTTTCGTCGCTGATATCCCAGAACCATGCATGAGATACCCGATCAGAATCGTGATGTACATCTCTGGTGTTCCAGGGCTTCGGTGCCAAGATGTAATGCACGTTCTTGACCTCCTCGTCTCTCCAGATTGCGTCATGAACACCTCCCCATCGCAACGTTTTCAGAGCGTTGTAAATGTATGGCAATGCGACCCACCGACCCCGAAAAAGATCGGAAAGCAAAGACTGGTCAGCAAAAGCATAATCTGCTGTTTGAGGCTGTTGTAGGGCTTCCAGAATGAGATCGTACACAGCCTTGCTTGGATTGACTACCTGGAGGCCTCCGTTCATGTACTGCAGTCCAGTTGTGCAGGGTGAGCCGACCTTTTGCGCCACGTCAGGCTTGTCATGCTGATGTGTAAATGCACAATTGGTGGGGATCCTATTGTCATCTTAGTGACTCGTATCTCAACAAGGCTGAAGGCATGGAGAGGCAGGGTGGCTAAAGATGTGGGGGCATACACATACCAATCTCGTGGGTAGTGTGGCTTCTTCAAAGGATTGCACACGCATGCATGTGACGCAGCAAAGACTTTATTGCCCTTTCCCTCCATTTCAGGCGGATCGAGATCGAGGGTCATCAACTCGTCCATGTTTCTCATGATGAGCATATCACTGTCAAGCTGTACAATTCTCTCGTACTCAGTAAGCCCGTAGGGCACCATCTTAGTCCAACAGTCATAGAAACGTGGATCATTACTGTAGTCGTTGGAGGCTGTAGGCAACAGATAGGGAACGTGCCGCTTCCGGATGCCTCGGCGATCAAGTGCCTCATGCGCCTGCAGTGGAAGCTCATCCGTGTACAGGACGATGAGGGGATAGACGGATTCGGAGCGTTTTAACGAATAATCGAGGGTCAGAAGTCCTGGCAGATAGGCTGTGTTGGTGAGGAGCGTCGTCCAGACTGTCCGTGATAAGCGGAACGCCGTGGAACGCACCGATGAAGGCGCGCGGCTCTGGAAGGTCACTCACCCTTTGTGGAGATTAAGGACTCAGCGCCAGCTGGGTTATCGCTACTGTCTGAAGATGCCATCCTGTCAACAACGAGACTGGGGCTTGGTGACGCTGGATTGTGTGTGGAGGCGAGAAGATTCCAGCGTGTGCCGTGGTTATACAGTTGACAAGAGGGGTATGGTAGCCTAAAATCAGGGCGACCGACATGTTTTTGGTCAATCTCTCCCAATCAAAACATGTGGCGCTCATGCATGGCCTCACCGGTGGGGGGTCATAGCAACCCCTACCATACTTGGCAGACCTGGAAAGGTAAATGCCCAGATGCCTTCCGTATGCACGTAAGCGAGGATGTCTACCTCTTCCGAGGAGCACTTTCGGTGTAGCGCGATATCAGGCTTGATCGAACACGACAGCCTGCACAAAAATGTTGCGCACAATCTAAGAGCCTTAAAAAAATGAACTGACCACGCTGTTTCAAGGTGTCACGCTTCAAAATCTCATTTGGCCAGTGAATAAAGGTCTACCAGAAGGTGTAACGGAACGATTGTTGATGGAGAGTGAATCTTTCACACGCTACCTAGGTCTGAGAAGAATCTCCGTAGGCGTAGACGCGGGATCTTGCATTAGTCTACGCGACCACCCAACTACCCAACCCCACCTACACAGCAAAAGAAACAAGTCGCACACATGCATGCCCCATCACGCGGCATGATAGAGGTATCCAGCCGCGTTCAGCCCAACTCCATATCCGTCGATATATTCCCGAGGTCTGAACTTTGTGGAGGCTGTGCAAAGGAGCCGCAAGTTTACAGGTATCGCGTAGGGCCCCGCAACAAGTCCCCTCAAAGACGGCCCGATTTCAACGGTATGTCAGGGTGAAGGAAATTTGCGATGCATGTTCGTCTTTGCTAACGCTACTTGAGAAGATTGATAAGTTACATAAAAAGGTAGATAGTAATCGACGAAGCAGATATTTGACAGGCTCTTCTATGAAAAGCTGCGACTTATTATCGCCAGCACATCTGCAAAGTATCCTGCTGTCAACAAACTTCCAATACTTCTTTTCAGTAATATAATGAAGATTCTCAGATCTGTACATGTAAAGGCAATGTGTAACTCGCCCTTTCAAGCGAACTGTTTGCGACCACAATCTTAATTTTCCCATGTGTCGCGCTGTACCACTCGATTTGCCCATCAGGAAGTTCTTTGCGGCTGTGAAATCGAGCATCTTTGCCACTGATGTCTTCCCAGCTCGACATACCTTTGTGTCGAATGGAGGTTTTGGAAACCCCTTCTGCAGATGAAATGTCGAGGTGCCAATCGTATCCGACCGCCGCTTCATCGCCGTCTAGCACTTGGTGACCCGGGAAAGTCTTTCTCTCTAACCAGTCTTTTGCGATGTATCCCGACAATCTTCCCTCGTGGGAAACCAAGCGCTTTGCGACATTCTCAAGCTCCGTTTGAACCGCAGTGTATGCCATCTCGGCAAATAGCACTTCATCCTCGGACGTACTGTCGACTTGTGGTTCGGGAATAATGAACTGAACTCTTCTCAAACCCGGGCCCAGTTTCGAAAGAGCGGTGATATCAACCTCCGAGCTCTTGGGGGTGTTGCGATAGCGGAGCCGATGAAACGAGTAGGAATACGGCATGTTGACTCGCAGCTTGAGGACTCGTAGGTGAAGCATATCGATCGTAGAGAATCTCGTCAGGCTGCTCAGGTATGCCGTATACGTACTGTGAGGATGGAAGATGATAGCCGCTTGAGCCAAACGTTTCTCGTCGCTCTTTTCCATCGTGATGACTGACAAGCCAGTAGTGAGCTGCAATGAACGGACTCTTGTGAGCGAGAGGATGGATGTCGGTCCTTTCGTCATGTCAGCTTTGTGAGCTTTGGACCAGATCCAGCACATAGACTCGTCGAAAAAGTACTGGGTACTCTCCCTCAGTATTTGCCGATTTGTTAGCAGCCACTTTGGTAGTTTGCGAGCTCGTTCATTGTACCCATGGCTTCTGGTGGATATGTTGAACTTGCAACCGGCATCGACGAAACTGTAGACTTCTTCGCTGAAGCAAAACCCGTAGATCTCGTAGCGTAGCTCGGCTGGTAGCTGCAGAAACTTCGAGGCGTTCGAACTGCTCTTGAGAATCAGAGTAAAGGGGTCTCTCGTAGCCACTTCGTCAAGAACAGTGATGGAAGTCATGCTCGTTTTGCCTGAAGAGTATAACAAGATCAGGGTAACAAGGCTGAGATCTGCGAGGTAACTGAGAGACGAGGATTTGAATGTAGCCTGCTGGGGCCAAGACGTACAACAGACCGGTCAGCCACAGACGGATGCAGCTGTGTCACGTGATGAGAGCTTCCATCTGTGTAGCCGCCGCGAAAAGCCAGCAAAGTGTTACACGCTCCAATCACCGCACAACGCACATCTTCACATGTAACTTGAAACTTGCATGGTGAATGAAGGATGCGAGCAGACACAAGCAGTTTTCAGCGAAAAAAGAACGGCTGGACAAGTGGGTGGGCGATACGTGGCAGATGCCAGTAGACTCGCCTTCCGAACTTGTGTTGCATACCTATATATGACGAAGCATGTACCAAAGTCACAGTGATGATAGCAAACCCTCATTGTGGATGCGTGAACATAACAAGACAAGCGTATGAACACAAACGTCGATTTAACATGAGGCTACTATACAGCCAACCCAACTTCGTAACGCCCAGTCACGCCGCAACCCAATTTTGCGTGACGAATATGCACTCCGGATATGATCCCATCAAATCCAACCATACAAGTCAAGGCATCTACTCGTCATCCTCCTCCTCCTCACTATCCTCATCCATACCCTCCGCAGCCTCAACCTGGAAGCTAGGCGCTTGATCCACACCCAGATAGCTATCACTAACGAGATAGCACGTCAACTCATGACTACCCGGCTTCTCAAGCGTAAACTCGAGCACAGTCTCCAACTTCCTCAGAATAGGCACCTTCTTGATCGCAAGCAGTGTGTGTTCCTTCTGGTCACCCACAACCAGCCACCAGCTCTCCGTCTTATCGGCAGGGTAGAACGGCGCGTGGACTTCCATCTTGGGCTCCTCGTCATCCTCGATGTTGCGCGTGATGCGCACCTTGAGTTGGGCGGGCGAGTTGGAAGCGATGGATTCGGGATCGACGAGTTCGTGCTCGATTTCGATGTTGGGGTAGAAGTTGTTTGTGAAGTTTGCAATGTCGGCGAGTTGGCGTTGGTCGACGTCGAGTGCGGAGATGAGCTTCTTGTAGTCTGGGTTTTCGTCTTCGTCCATGGCGTTGATGAAGTCGTCGACGTCGTTGATGCCGAATTTTTGGGCGACCTTGATGGTGTCGGCGTCGAAGTGGGGGATCTGCTTGAGAGGAGAGTCCTTTTGCCACATTGCTTGGACGACCATCTGTGAGAGTTCCATGGCGGACATGGCGTTGAGATGAGCCTCGGATGAGAGCACGTCAACACTTGCGCTGAGGATGTTGAGGACCTTTCGCAGGACGACTTCCTGATCCTTGGCCAGGTCGACGGGGAGCTGCATGCGTGAGAAGTGAGCCTGCAGAAGAACGAAAGCCTTGAAATGCGGCGTCTCGAAGTTGGGCTCCTGCATCTTGAAGGGAACGCGGTCGTAGATGCGCTGGAGGATGTGGTCCTCGTGTCTCCGTATTTGAATGTCTTCGAATTCGGTGGCGGCTGTGATGATCTCCAGTACACCCTTGAGACTTGTCCTGCCGTTGAGCGACATCATCAAGGTCTGCATGGTGATGAACGAGATGTTGTAGTACGCCGCGATCATGCACGGGTTCAGAGGTGTGATCGCATCCTCGTCTTCATCGTGCTCGATGAGGTTGGCATCGGTCAGCTCCTTCAGGGTCGACTCAACCATG